AATAAAAGTGGGCAGATCGGAGAAGACAAATATCAAAAAAGTCTCGGGAAGACACGATTGAAGGGAAGCGTCGAGAGAAAATCTTGGCACCTCGTGGAGTGTCAGTAATTGGTCTAATTACGGAAAAGAGGATTAATATCGAGAAATATATTGCTACGACCTATATACGATCGGACAAGCAATTAACACTGTTTGAAAAAGCTAATGAAAAAGAATACCGTATATCGTAGGAGGTGGCAACGTCGAGCTGAACATATGAAATCGAACGAGAGCTGAACGAAATAAATTACCAGCAATGCAAATCAACCTCTCCTAATTCTTTTTCAGATATTTTGATCATTAGTAAACAGAAATGTCACCGATCGGTGATTAGGCGATGACATTTCTGTTTAAGGCGTTGAGTAAGCAGCAGCGAATAAGAAAGAGAGTCTTCGAGGAAGATCGAAGCGATCGTTTTTCTCTCTTTTTATTTAGTCGATTCCTGCGAATTTATACGATCTAATCAACGAACCTCGCGAACAGACCTCGCGATCGGTCGAGCCGATTGAAAGACCAACCTCGATTTTTTAACATGTCATTTTGTATCGGCGATATTGAGCGTAGTTACCGGCCTGTTATAATTATCCTGTAATTATCCCTTTAGTCGCGTAACTCGAAGCGAAAGGGCCGAGAAGACGAAGGAAGGGTGAAAGGGAAGTCAGCGGCGCGGCGAGTGCGGCGGAGCGACGGCCACTGTGTGGTCCACAGAGCGCGTCACACCCACGCGTGTTAGCAGCAGTTAACGTCACTCACGTCGGCCATGCGATTTATGCGGTGTCGCGGCACCGCGCCGATTTCTGGCTCGCGAATTGCGCGTAATTATTCAGGAAGGAATTAATTCCGAAATTGAAGAGTACGACTCCGAGGTTCGCGCGCACAAGCACGCTCGCGAACATTTCGATTCCGGTAGACACTCGTGCTCGTCTCTCTCTGTCCCCTTCTCTCTCTCTCTCTCTCTCTCTCTCTCTCTCTCTTTTCCATTCGTTCCTTCGAAACATGCGAGTATATATTTTTATATAAGAAGCGTGTGTCTGTGTGTGTGTGTATGTGTGTGTGTGTGTGTGTGTGTGTGTGTGTGTGTGTGTGTGTGTGTGTGTGTGTGTGTGTGTGTGGTGTGCGTGTGTGTGTGTGTGTGTGGTGTGGTGTGTGGTGTGTGCGTGTGCGTGTGTGTGTGTGTGTGTGTGTGTGTGTGTGTGTGTGTACGCGCCAAAATTAACAGACAAATAGACAACGGTAGTCTCCGCGAGAAGTCGAATCTATTTCTGTTAATGAAAATACTGAAGTCGCGGTGGAAATAATTTTTCGACTGTGAATTATCTTCTTCCCTGCTCTCATCTCGTCTCATTTTCGTGAAGATTTCTTCTTTCGAAATGAAGCTACAGTTTAAAAAATGAGTTACGATATATATATGGCGGTTAATCTAGAGCGATCTCTATTTCGTGACGGAATCCCAATTCGGAGCTCAATTACCAAAATAATTTGTGCTAAGAAAAAATCGACCTCAAATTTCGTTTTCTTTTATTCGACCACAATTCATCTCGTATAAGCACCAACACTTGGCAGGCAACATAAAAAAAAAAGTCGAAATAATGGAACCCGACCTCCTTTTTGCATAACAAATCGATTGCGTTGAAATATGAATAATCTCGTTCCGCGCATGCACGAATCGATCCTCCTACGACCGTCGAGAACGATCGGCGGTGAACTAAAAAAAAAGATAAAAAAGAGCATTGTGCGCAATGGCGTCACCGGCTATATCCGGACTGGAATAATCGTGTCGAATAATATTATCATACAATGGCGTTTCGTCGCGCGTACAACCTGCAGTTTTGCGAGAGGGCATTCTCTCTCTTTTCCTCTCTCTCTCGGATTTGCAAATCGTCGCGCGCGGACAATCGCGCTTGAGCAATCGCGGCCTCAAAAGGTGCGCACGCGAATTAGTTATTAAACTGATTGCCGGTTCGCCTCATTGGCAAACGGTGATCCAGTCATTTCGATGTGCAGAGACGAGATTCTCGGTCTACGCACTTTGATTCTTCGCAGAGCGACGTCAGTCAGCCGTCTCTCCTCTCGTTGGAAAGCGCGAAGCTCTTTATCTCGGAGGGAAAATACCGACGCAGGAAACCATCCCTCGTCGGAAACTTGGCAATATCTATACACGGCAAGAGAGGGAGTATCGCTTTTAATAGCTTTGTCTCGATTACAGATTCTCGGCCGACTACGAAGTCGATTTTACGATAACGAGAATTTTATCGGAGCGCAACTTTCTCTCTCTCTCTCTCTCTCTCTCTCTCTCTCTCTCTCTCTCTCTCTCTCTCTCTCTCTCTCTCTCTCTCTCTCTCTCCTTTCTCGATAAACTTTCGGAAGATTTTGAATTTCTAATTTTCGTTGCGCGCGAATAAATCCGGCGGAGGCCCTTCGACGTTCAATTCGAGAAACGGAACGCTCTCGCGTACGAGAAAAGAACGAGAAAATAAATAGCGCGATCGTTAAAGAGAAGCAAACAGCCGGCGGCCGCGTCTCATGGGAAGTCAAGGAGCAATCGAAGAAAATGATTTAAGCGAGCCGAGAGGGGATACACACGCTCGCGCATTTAGCGCACGTGTGAACGCACGCACATATACGCGCACGTACGTACTCACGCGTGTACGCACGCACGGCCACGGCACCGGGGATCAATTCGAGACGCGTATTGCGGCGTTTATGCGCGTTTATGCGCGTTTACGCCGTCGACCGAGCGTACCACGGCAAATCAGGGGCGAATGCAAAAGCAACCGAGGAAATTGTTCGACCAACTTTTCCCGATCGATCCGAGCTCCCCCGGTAATGAAAATTTCCCCTTGCCGGAGGAATTTTCGCGAGCTCCATAACAATACACGCGCGGTCGATTCTATCCGCTACTTTTGATCGCGAATATCCCCCGTGTCGCGAGTGTCACGAGCTGGAACAAATGTGTGTGTGCAATTATTATGCGGTTAGGTATGTTCTTCCTCCCTTAGAAATAGATAATTCCTCGATCTCCTCGAGCTCGTATGTGCACGAGCGCATTTCAAAGTGATCGTATGTAAAAATCTGAATATCGAATCGCCCGACGTTTCAACGAACAGAACACTGCATTTTGAATTTTAGAACAACGTTCGTGCTCCGTCGAGATTCGCGCTTCACGCGACACGCGACACGTTACACAAGAGGAGGGGAAAAATCAAACAAAATAGCGAAAAAAATTGAAAAGTCACGATGAAGCTGTCGGGACTCGATGAAATTTGAAAAACATGGAACGGATCACACAGCTCTTTGCACACACAGCGCGCCTAAAGTCTAAAGTTCGCGGGGGGGGGGGGGGGACGTCGCTCCCACGTGCGGCGGAGCGTGGAATGGTGCGCGAGGTGTGCGAAACCGCCCTCACCGCCGCGCCGCCGTCGACGCGTCTCGGTTAGTAGTAATAGTTACAGCTAACACGTAAGTTACAAAGCGAAGCACGGTGCGGGCATTGCGAATCGCGGGCGTGTTATCGGCGCTATTAACCGGCGGCCACTTGGCCGTCGTCTATCTAAATTGCTTTCTATATTAAAGCAAAACGCATTCCTTGCCGCTTTATTATTGCCGCTTTATTATTGCCGTCGTCGTAATGACGTGGGCGAGCAACCCCCTTCCTTCCCTACCCCTTTTCCTTCCTTCCTCCGTCGTTTATTGCCTGGCTCGACCGTCGCCACCTCCTCTTCCTTCTCGCGTTGCCACCTCCTGCGGTCGTCAACGAGGTCGTCGTTGACGACGACCGCCGTGTTGCGGTGCCGCATTGTTCCGCGAGGTAACACCTAGGATCACGGACGGGGGTGAAACCCCCGCCAGCAAGATATCGACCTCCGAGAGGATCGCATCCAAGGACCGGAGATGGTCGTTCGCGAAGCGAAGCGAGTCCTCGCGAACGGGCGAACCTCGCCTTTCTAGGACGGGGCTCGTCACGTCGCCCGCAGAGTCGCGGCGATTCGAGCGGGACAGCGTGACCGTGAACTTGGCGCGATCCGCGGATCGGCGACGAGCCCCGAGGGAGGGAATTTCCTCTCGAACGGAAGGGATGATCGGTTGTTGCGCCGCTACTTACGGAAACCCGATCGAGCATCGCGCGACAGATGCACACACGGCGGCGGATCATGCGAGAGATATTGCAGGAGAGGAATGTGAAGTCTTTAAACATGTCGCGAAATCGACTATACGGGGTGTCCCCGTTCGATCGTACTCTCCTTTAATGATAGACGCTGTATGATCGGAGTGAAAATCGATGGGTTTGAGGGTATGAGGAAACGCGACAATCTCGCGATGTAACAATTGAAAGAGGGCAATCATTTCCGGCTGCTTTCTCTCTCTCTCTCTCTCTCTCTCTCTCTCTCTCTCTCTCTCTCTCTCTCTCTCATCGACGTAGGTAGATCTGCTTTATACATATTTCTCTCGTGGAGAATCATTTGCCTGCCCTAACTTTGTCGACTCCCACTGATACTTATAGACATAAATATTAGATTGAATCTTCGACTAATAGGATAGAGGACTCAACCGAACTAAATCAATAATAGAAATGAGAAGAAACGAAAAGTATTGGAACATCGTCACTCTCTTCACCGTGAACAGTGAAGCCGTGACATTACACGACGTAAAGCGATTAATCTCAATTCTCAGTGATTCCAAGAGCCGCCATATCTCTCTGCCTCTTGTCCGAGACGCGATTCATCTCGGCTACTCACGTAGCGTCTATACGTAAAAGAAAGTGCGCGGCTGCTACAAGGGAGACACCCTGTGCATAGAAACAGGCGATCAGACGCTGAACGTGTGTGCGCATTGCCTAACGTAGAGGCTTGCACGTCCGGCCCGGCCCGGCCCGGCCCGGCCCGGAGGGCCGTCGAGAGGCGATTATCTCCTGAAACGTATCGAAACGAGACGAAGAGGAGAAAAACGATGTCGGGACTCACCTGCTATACTGGAGGTGGAGGCGCCGAGCCAAGCGTGGGACGACTCCAACAACTTGGCCTGAAACAGAACAGAAAAGTTCGGGTCAGACATCGGTAGCGTGCCGGTGCGATTAGCGGCCGAATTGAACGGCCGCGAGCGGGAAAATGGCTTAATCCTACGGATCCCGGGCTCGGTCTCTCTCCTCAAACGACGGCGAGAAAAAGGAAAGAAGCCAGCCGCGCGAGAGACGGAGTGATTATTTAATCGGAAATCGCCGGCGAGAGAAATTGAAGGTAGCCCGATCGTCGTCCGGCGTCGCGAGAGAAACGGCAAGTATTATATAATACGCGCTTACGAGTTTTACATAACGCAAAGAGAGCACTCGAATCTCCATTTAAAAATCCGTTTCGCTTCCTGCGAAGAGGAAAAAAGAAGAAGGAAGAAAGAGGAAAAAAGGAGACGCTTCAATTATCGAATCGCTCGGGGCTCGGTTAATTACCGTTTTCCTTTCGGCCGGTGAAAAATCTCGCGAAAGAGGCACGATCCGGGAAAGGGACGGAGAGGATCGGAGGAACGGAAGTCGAGAACAAATAGGCGGGGGAGATGCGTATGTGTGTGTGTGTGTGTGTGTGCGCGCGCGCGCGCGTTGTAACAGTGCGATTTCCTCTTTTTCCAGCTAGCGGCAGGCGGAAACGTTGCGACGCACGCGATTCGCGCCGGCCGATGCGGTTCCACGCCGGGCGACGCGCCCGGATAACGCGATTTCCCGAAAATTTCTCTAGGACACACACTTGGGCCAGGGGAAGGGCGGGGGCGGGGACGGGGGCGGGGGAGGAGGGAAAAATCGCGCGCACCGGGAAGCGCGGGGGTAATCGGTGCTGTTCATCTCCGCCGACAACTTTGCTAATATGCGAGGCTTCCCGGCGTCCGCGAAAGGGGTTTGCGAGACGCGGGCACCGAAAGCGCAAGACACACGCAAAGTTGGCTCATTTGAAAAGTTTCGTCCTCCCCCAACCCTATACCTCTACCTACCTACCTACCACCCTCCCTCACTCCCGTCCGTTTCACCCGCTTTCGGATTTCGCGATTTCCGCAATATCGCGGGGAGAGCGGCGCGTGTGTGCCGCCCGCTGTGCTTCTCGTATACGCTGCAGCACTTCCGGGCTCTCTCTCTCGCCTGACTTTTCAAATTAATTTTTAAGGGTCGCTCGATGCGCCCCGATCAAACCCTTCCGCGCCGCATTTCTTCCACCTTTTTTTTCGCTCGCTCTTTCTCCCGACGCGACGCGCCCGTGTTCCGTCCGCGCTGCGCGGAAACTTTTCCGTCGAGCCGAATGCCGCCTTCGTTTGAAGGATGCTCGCGCGGAAAAGCCCCTGAGGCAATGAATCCTTTTTCTGAGTCGCGTCAACAGCGGGGAGAACAATAATAAGTGACCATCTGTAGCATCAAGATAGAACAATATAGCCTGTCATGTGCCTCGAGCTTCTTCATTTGTCCTTTAAATCTGACGGGAATTTCAAGTCAGAGCCTTGCTCGGTCTCGTCGCTCGTCAGTGCGGCAGTTATGACGTAAATCGCTTTTCGGTGGGGTTCCTTGCGGTCATCGGGGGACCCGGTGGATAGGGTGCTTCTTCCCACGAGGAGGCGGAAGGCGGAGGTGGAGGCGGAGGCGGAGGCGGCGGTGCAGCGAAATAACGATGTCTCCGCCGCCGTGACACGAGGGGGATGGCACCGAGCTGGCAATTTCGCGAAATAGCCCCGCGTCAATACACGTGCACGCATCTCGGCTAAACCACACAAAGAATTATTGAGCAGCTCGCTGTTTCCGAGCGGGCCTCGCGAGCCGGAGGAGGACGCGCAAGTGAGACCGCGGAAGAGAGAAAGAGGGAGGGAGGGAGGGAGGGGGAGAGAGAGCGAGCGCGGAGGAAAGAGAAGAAGGGTAGAGAAAGAGAGGCTAGAAGGGTAGAACGACAAGAGGGAAGGAGGGCGGGAGGGAGAGACACCGAGCCTGCTGCAGTTGTAACTTGGACGCGCAAGTAGTATATCGTGGCGCGTGCATTTTTCATTGTCTCGTGTCCCCGCGCTGCGGTGCAGCTCGCAGAATACGCCGCAGAGTGCATATACACGACGTGCCGGTTGACGTGTGCATTGACGAGAAAATTGCGAGCGTCCCTATATATCGCGGTCGCCCACCCTCGCCTGCGCTCGGCGTCTTTCTCTCTCTCTCTCTCTCTCTCTCTCTCTCTCTCTCTCTCTCTCTCTCTCTCTCTCTCTCTCTCTCTCTCTCTCTCTCTCCCCCTCTCTCTCCCCTCTTTCTCCCCCCCTCTCTCTCTCTCTCTCTCTCCCTCCCTCTCTTCTTCTCTCGTCTGCCGGTCTGCACATTTTTCTGCGTATCTCCTTCTCTCTCTTTCTCTAACTTCTATTTTCAAGCCGTACCGTCATTCTTATGTTGCACTCTGAACGCTTATGCGACTGTCCTCCCCTTCCCTCTTTCTTCCTTCTTCCCATCCTTTTTCTCGCGACAATCCCGCGCCACGGATTTTCGTAGCGACGCGACGCTCGGGAGCGGCGGAGGGACTCGAATTTCGCGATAAAAGAATCGCGTATCGAATTAAGAGCAGAGTGTCTCGTGGCGCGCTTTCTCTTGTCCAACTCCCTCGCGCCGATCCCAGGGTTCCCGAGTCTCGGCGAACGAGGAGGAAATCTCGTCCAGAGCGACGCGTGGGATAAGGTTAAGCGACTGCAACGGTCGCAAGACTGCGTCTCGACGCGCTCAGAGACGCACAGCGTCGGCGTCCGCGTCATTCAGCAGTCTGTATCTCAATTTGTTTCGACGTGCAGCAGCAGCCCCGTGTATAGTCCGGCCAGTTTCTGTATGATGCATGCCGCTAATGGAAATGAGGCCTCGCGCTCTCTCTCTCTCTCTCCCTCTCTCTCTCTCTCTCTCTCATTTCTCCTTCGCCCCTTCCCTTCATCCTCTACTCGCCCCTCTACTCTTCTCTTCCTCACCACCCGTTCCGACAGGGCGTGCATCCGTCTTCGTCATCCTCTTCGTCTTCCCCTTTCGCTCTCCCCCTCCGACGGGAAGACAGCAGCCACCCTGGCCGCGGCACCGGAGAGGGTTCGTGAATTAAATATGCCCGCGCTCGTGCGCGATTTTACCCCGCTTGTGAATCTCCGTTTCTCTCGCTCTCGCCCTCTCTCTCTCTCTTTCTCTCTCTCTCTCTCTCTCTCTCTCTCTCTCTCTCTCTCTCTCTCACACATACACACACACACTTTCTCCTTCTCTTTCTCCCTCTCTCCCTTCTCTCTCGCTCTGCTCGAGCTCGTGTTCCGTTGCTCGTCTCTTCAGCATCGTATGCACCCGCTATTAACCGCCTTCAAATTACCGGGCTGACCGCCTTGAATTTTTCACGACCGCCGTCGCGGTTCCGAGCTCTCCTTGATCGCGTTGCGATGCGGTCGGAAGTCCCGGAAGCTGTTAACAGGCTGAGCTCCGAATGGCAGGACGCAAGTTGTAAATATCGATGTGTCTAATATCGCGAGAGATCCTTCGCGGTTGCATAGGCGCGGTGTTTGATTCTCTCTTGTTTATGCATCCGTTTCTACCAACTGTAGTTAATTTAACCGGCTGGTTTTTTCATCGGAATGGGCCAATCTCGTTTGTCAATTCTAACTAAAGACAAGTGCGATTGGTCAATTTTGTTGGAATAACTAGCTAGTTAAACTAACCAAGGTTGGTAAAAAACGGGCATGAGCGTCGTCGATTTATGTCATAAATCAGAATCACAATTTTGGTTCAGCATTAACTCTGTAAATGTCATTGAACTTGTAGTACCGATGGCGAATCTCAAAGTACAGAATTATTATCTCTTGATCTTAGGACCGATTATTTACCAAAGTTTTGTCGAGGATTAGAAAAAAGAATTTAATTATTTAATATTCGACTATTTCCTCAATAATCTGTTTACATTTTTATTTTGAATTTTTTATTTTTATTATTAATGTCAATAGGTAGTATGTATTAATTATATAATTTACTCAATCGCGTGCTAGAACATACGCGATAAACAAATATTTAATGATGAATATTAGCAGATTATCCTAATGAATAGAATTAATGGGTAAATATCTTACAACTCTCTATTCCTTTTTCCTTTACAATTTTTCCTTTAAAATATAACCTTTCGTAATAAGTACAGGTAGAATATTAAATAATTGGAATAATAAATAATTGGGAGTATTAAATAGGATTATAACGAAAGGTGGTTATAACAAAAGCGAATGCGAAAGGGAAAGAAAAAAAATTTTTCCCGAAAGCGAAACATCTTGATCCTTTCTACTGAATGATGCAAATGAGTAAATTAGTAACTTCCCAGACAATACAATGACCAAAATCGGGACATAAGACGTCTTTAAGTCGTCTTAAAGATGTTTCATACTATGACATATTAAATTCCATTTTTACTTCATACGTGTGCGAAGTTGGCCCCGCACTTTTCGAATTTTATATTTTTTCGAATTGTGCTGCATTGTGCTACGTTTGTGCAATATTGTGCCGCAATCCGCAACTCTATAACTTAAAGCGTACTCAAGAAAATTAAGAAAAACTAAACTTTTGCTAGCCCCGCACTTTTCGAGTTTTGAGTCTTTTCTTTATTGTGTCGTATTGTGCTATATGTTTGTGCTGATTTGTGCCGCAAACGCGAGACCGATAAGTTTAATAACATTTGAGAAAAAAAGTAAAAATGAAAATTTGCCAGCCCCGCACTTTTGTCCGAATGAACCCAACTTTTGTTTGTGAATTCCTACTAATTTGTGCCGCGTTGTGCCGTTTAAAGAAACTGGTTATCTTTTTTCGTTCAGTAGAAAAAAAAATGTTTAAGTTAAAATACAAATTAACAAATAACTTTTTCTACAATGCATTTATCGCAAGTCTGCAAGTCGTGCTGAATTGTATTAATCGAGTACAATAAGAAACCACTTAGAGATGTAACGAAAACTATTCAGATTGCAAAAGAAATTTGCAAAAATTGGGGACGCAAAAAAATTTTTCATATTTTCGAAATTTCGAAAGTTGTGCCAGGTTGTGCTCAGTTAAGCTCAACAACTTTTTTTAATAGCAA